CCCGCTGTGGCAGCGGCAGGAGCCGTCTGGCTCCCCCGAAAGCAAGCCAGGCCCCTCTCCCCTCTCCGGGGCGGGGCAGGGGTGAAAGAAGCTTCCCAGACCCTTCGGACGAGGAGTTTCAGAACAACGGCCCCGAACGTGTAAATGAATCAGAAACACATGTATTACGTTTCTCATCAAAGTCCCCGCGGCTCTGAAACACCAAAGGGGGGCAGGGCTTGGCGGCGCGCCCGCCCCGTTTTCCCGGCCCTCTGGTGTCGGAAGACCTGTCAGAGGGGTCTGCCAAGCCCCAAACATTGCTCGTTCCCTGTCCTCAGCAAAAGCACCGGCTACAGTTTCAAAGCGAAGCCCACAAACCCCGCGGACCGAAGGCCAGGTCATGCTGAGGTCAGCTGGGTCTGGGATTCTGCGGGGTGGGGGGGGCCCCCTGGGACTTGGGGCGGCTGGGCTTCCGGCCAAGCCCTCTTGGGGGCCCGGGTCTGAGTGTCAGAGCTGCCATCTCCCACCTCGTGGGCCATTCTGCTGACCCCCAGCGCCGGGCCAGCCCTCCGTCCCCTGGCTGACCGCCCGGCCGCGGACGGAGGACCGGTGATGGAAGAAGTCTCCAGCGCGTGTCGGCCCCTCATGAGCAGCTCTGATCGGAGAGATTAGAGCTCCCTGGCGCTCAGCGGGGGACCCCAGTCTCCTGAGGGGAGAGGGAGTCTTCCTCCTGGTCAGTGCTTGTCCTTCCTCCTTCCTCCCCTCTCCCCGGGGCCATGGCCCCCACACCCTAACGAGAGGGACACTGGCTTTCAAGGAAGCCCACGTCCGAGGCCCCCGCCCTGGCCCCGTCTCTCCGCACACCTCCTCCGTGCAGCCCTGTGTCTGCCGGAGGCGCAGGGCCATGCAGGCCCTGAGTCCCCCCTTGGGGAGACTCTGCTTCCCTCGTGTAAAGAACTCACCAGGTCTCGGAGGTGGAGGGCGGGGGAGAGGGGTGAGGGGTCAAAGACAAACCAGGAGACACACAGGGAGAACCAGCGGAATCCTCCCACGAGTCTAGAATAAAGCGTGTGGACAGCGTGTTTTCTGTCCACTCGAGAAGGGACTTGGCATCTGGAAGGAACGCCTCCTTCACGCCTGCTTCTGCCCACGTGGGCCGGGATCTCGGCCTGCCCCGACTCCTGTCCCCAGGGGCCTGGCCCCCGCCGCCCCCACCGCCCCCACCACCGGGAAACAGCACTGGTCGGCCCTCTGCCCTCGCAGGGGGTGCCACATCCTCCTCCGAGCTGCCCTCACCCCTGGCTGAGCTCCTGGGAGACCATGACTGTCCCACAGGCCTCATCATCTCTCCACCTGAGTGGTCCCAGGTGCGTCAGCAATGAACTAGACTAATCTGGGTCCCCACCTCCTCCCCCGAACCAAGTGCGTTTGTTCTTCTTCAATAAACGGTTAAAATGATCCACTTTATGTTCTGTGTCTTTTACCACAAAAGTGAAAAGAATCAGTAAACCCTCGCCCCAGGTGAACGGGAAACAGAGAGCAAGAGACGTCCTTTCCTGGCCAAGCTGACCACGCCCACGAAGGTCAGGCGACCCCTGAGCACTCCCCCTGCCAGCAGGGTCCCTTCCAGGGGGCTGTGCCCAGCTCACCTGCTGGTGTGTCTGGCTTGTCCCTTTCCAAATGCTCACACCTGCTCCCTAACCTCACCTTTCCCAGCGGCCCTGTGGCAGCGGGTGGGTGGGGCCTGTTTTCTGTTTTCTTTATAGATAAGAAACCAGAAGCCCAAAGAGGCCTCACAGCCCGGGGACACCGAGGCCTCTACCGCAGACCTCACTCCGGAGCAGGCTGGCCCCTCGGTCACCACAACCCACAGCCCCGGCCCTTCCTGGCTCGCTCTCCCTGCTCGCTCTCCCTGCTCGCTCTCTCCTGGTCTCAGGGGAGAGGCAGGGACAGTGGGAGAGAGTTTACAACAGGGCTCCGGCCTAGCTGAGGTCAGCGTCCCCCCAGGCAAGGCCGCCCGTCCTTCCGCCCTGCCGTGGCCTCATGGCTCACGGGGCTTCGGGGCTTCATGCAGCCCGGGTGGGAGGACCCCCACCACACACTGCCCGTGGGGACCTGCTTGTTTCCAGGTCCTCCCTCCTGAGGGCGACACAGGCAGAACCCTGCCCTGCGGACCTTGGAGAAGGAAGTCTCCAGGCCCGGCCCGGGATGACGATGAGGTGGGATGACAACAATGGGAATGAGGGCTGATTGTCCGGAGCTGAGGGAGCCGCTGCACCTACACGCTGAGGCGGCTGTTAGTTCTTTCTCCTCCTGCCTCCGTTTCTCTAGATCAGGGGTCCTCAAACTTTTCAAATAGGGGGCCAGTTCACTGCCCCTCAGACCGTTGGAGGGCCGGATTATAGTTTAAAAAAAAAACTATGAACAAATTCCTATGCACACTGCACATATCTTATTTTGAAGTAAAAACACAAAACGGGAACAAAGACAATATTTGTATTTGCATGTGGCCCGCGGGCCGCAGTTTGAGGACCCCTGTCCTAGATCCCTTCCCGACTGACAGTCTGAGCCGGGCTCATTCCCTGCCCGATCCTGGCTTACGGGTGTCACCTTCAGGGGCCGGCCCCCTCAGGACCGTGGGACCCCCCGCGCTGCCGCTCACCTGGAGTCCAGGAAGATGAGCTTCAGGTCGAGGCTGGCCCGGAACATGAACATGTTGCTGTGCAGCTTGACCTCGGTGACGGCGCTGGGAGGCAGCGACTGGCCCACGGCCACCAGCCCCACGACCTGGTAGCAGGACTCGTACAGGGACATGTCCAGCATGTACTGCCTGATCTTCAAGTAGCCACTGCAGTGGATGACCTGGGGGAGAGGGCGGGTCAGCCCCGCGGCCCAGGGCCACGGACGCCCGCCTCCCTGCCCGGCCGCTGCTGCCCCGTCTCTCCAGCGCGCAGCCTGTCCCCCAGCCCGGCCTCCGGGAGGAACGGAACACTATCAGAATGACACACCGGGGCCTCTCCCCTCGCCGACTGTGGGAGCCACGGCTCTCTAGAGGGGTGAGCGGCAGGACAGGGCCCTCGGGGGTGAGCCTTGGTTCCGTAACCTTCACGCCAGCAGCTGGAAAGCTTATGTTCTGATGGGACTGGATTCGACATGCTAACCTGACATTGATATCACTTGACAAGCTACGTCACTCAGGAAACTCAGAATCCTTCCAGTAGAATGGGGGGGAAAGCTTCATGGAAAATGCGCTTTATTTATAATTCAAGATTTTTTCCCCTTGTAATAAGCAAAAGCCGGAGTGACTATAGAGAAACGCGTGTAATAGCTGTAGCCAAACACCACACAGGAGAACGTGTGAGTGTCCGAGGGTCATGCAGCACGGCTCACGCAGCCTCGGGCTGACACTGGGTTCGTTTATGCGAGCTCCATCAGTAACATCCCGTCAGGGCAGGGATGAGCCCTTCCAGAAGCCTCCCTCCAGGATCCCGAATGTATTCCCGTCCTTACAGCTGGAGCGAATCTTTAAATCCTTCTAGTCCAGTGGTCAGCAAACTCAGTCAACAGAGCCAAATATCAACAGTGCAACGACTGAAATTTCTTTTGAGAGTCAAGTTTTTTAAACTTAAACTATATAGGTAGGTACATTGTTATTAACTTAGTTAGGGTACTCCTAAGGCTTAGGAAGAGCCACACTCAAGGGGTCAAAGAGCCGCACGTGGCTCGCGAGCCGCAGTCTGCCGACCACAGTTCTAGTCTATTCTCCCGTTTCACTGATGAGGAAACTGAGGGCAAGGTAGGCTGTGTGTTTTGCTTAAGATGGGACGGTTAATAAGTGGCACACACAAGCCAAGACCCAGTGTCCAGAAGAATGTCTGTGGGTGCAGGATCGTGCTGGGGGTTCCCCACGCTTGGGCCAAAGAGGCTTCGAGTCCGGGACAGCAACTAAGAAACGTACCCTCCAAACTACAAAACAGAGTGAGGTCAAGTCAACGCCAAGGGCTCCGAGTGCGGCTCCCAGGAGGGGCCGAGGGGAGGGTGCAGGGGAAGGCAGACCTGGGGTGGGAGCACTGTACGGCTCCTCAGGGGACCTGCTCCCGGATCCCGCAGTCAGCCGGAGGTGGGCACATCAGGCAGAGAAAGGGGCCAGGGCAGGGCTGGAGATGGGGGGCTGGGCTCGAGGGCCAGCTCTGCCGCTGACCTGCCTGCCTCCGGCTTGTCGGCTGCTGTCCTTGATGCAGAAGGGAGCTGACCACACTCCCTCCAAGGGCTGCTACGCAGTTCGATTACCCGCTAGACCAGTGGTTCTCAACCTTCTGGCCCTTTAAATGCAGTTCCTCATGTTGTGACCCAACCATAAAATTATTTTCGTTGCAACTTCATAACTGTAATGTTGCTACTGTTATGAATCGTAACATAAATGTCTGACATGCAGGATGGTCTTAGGCGACCCCTGTGAAAGGGTCGTTTGACCGCCAAAGGGGTCGCGACCCACAGGTTGAGAACCGCTGCACTAGGCTCGCTAATGGTTACAGGAGGAGACACTGCGGAGGAAGCTGTGCCCTGCACTCTGAGTGGCTGCCCTGTCGCTGTCTGCGCAGCACTGTCCTCACCACGGACCTTCTGAGGACAAGGGCGTTTCTGGGCTCTGAATGCCCTGCGGCCTGGACCACGCGGGTTCCGTTAGCCGCTCAGGCAGAACGACCGTGTGCAGAGCAACCTCAGGTGCCAGGGTGAGTCCGCCGCGTGCCCTCCTGGCCCCTGGGAAGAACGGTCTCAAGACGCCGGCTCTCACCCTGCCCTCCGAGCGGCGGCACTGCCATGTGCAGGCCTGGGTCCCATGCCCTCCTGTCTGCACGTGTTCTCGGTGTGAAGCAAAATACAAAACATTCCAGACCGAGGCCCCTCCTCACCTCCCACAGGCTCCTCGTACCTTGTATCCGCTGCACGTCAGGCCCGCGTTCCTCTTCGCCAGGACGCACTTCATGCGAAGGAAGAAGGACCGCTCTATCTCGTACTCTGAAAGCAGGAGCCGGGTCAGATGGCCAGCTGTCCACCTGCTCCCCACCGTCACCCCAACAATGTCCATCACCCGCAGGACCCAGCCAGGGGCCTCATCCCAACAGCCCAGATGCCAGCCCGGAGAGCCTTGCCTGTGGCCAGGCCTGGGTGGGGTGGGGGCTGGGAACTGGGCAGTGGGATTGGGGGCTGGGGTCCTGGGTAGGGTGGGGTCCTGGGTGGGGTGGGAGCTGGGTGGGGACCAGGTTGGGTGGGGACCGGGTCGGGTGGTGCAGAGCCGATCCCATCCGGCCTGGCTTCCATGGGCCCCGGAAGAAGGCGGCTGGAAATACGGCCACAGCAAGAACTTGGGACAGGCCAGCCTGGGGACACGTGAGGACCGTCCAGGCAGGGGCCCCCATGGCACCACAGAGGCCTGGTGCCCGGAGAGTTGACCTGCCCTGGGGCAGGCGCCTGGGCCTGCGAGGCCTTTGACCCCCTGGGGCAGCAGATACGAGTGCAGCCCTTTCCCAAGTGCAGCGAGGGAGCCAGCCCCAGGGGCCTCCCGCCAGCCGTGCCCCTGGGCTGAGACTGCCCACAACGTGGAATGGGGGACAGGACCCAGCAGACCCTCTGGGCCAGGTTGAAGCTTTTGCCCTCACCCACGGCCCTGGACGGACCTCCCTCCTGTCACTGTCCCCGCTGGGCCACCACCTGCCTTCCGTTCTCCCGCAGGCCTCAGCACAACCTCTGCCCTCGCTACCGCAAATCAGGCCCCCCGCCTCCCGGGGACGTCCTCTGCTTAGTGAGGGACCAGCATCCGGGCACCCATGCCCACATGCCCTGCCCCGGGGGGACCAGCATCCGGGCACCCACGCCCACGTGCCGTGTCCCGGGGGGAGGGGGCAGCTCTCCAGGCACCCATGCCCACATGCCCTGCCCCGGGGGGACCAGCATCCGGGCACCCATACCCACGTGCCCTGCCCTGGGGGAGGGACCAGCATCCGGGCACCCATGCCCACGTGCCCGGCCCTGGGGGAGGGGAGGTCACTCACTCTAAATACACAGCCCCCGGGAGTGGTTAATAAATTACTTTTTAAAGAAAGGTTACCCCTGGGAATGGGCGTGCAGCCTCCACCCCTGAAGGCACGCCCGGTGCCGGTAAGGGGTTCGCCGGAGAGGCACCCCTAGGTGGAGAGGCTTCCACTTTACCCACAATCCTCTGCATCTGTGGGTCAGGGGTCCGAAGGGCATAGCTTCCCTTTAACACGGCGCCATCTGCCCCATTGGTGGGAGAGCCCATTCTCACCCAATCACCATAAACACGGGCAGTTCCCACCCAGGAAAGCACGTCTGCGGGGGGCACGGGGGTGACAGTGAGCACGGTGAGCCCAGCCCCTCACTGTGAGCCCCAATCCCTCACTGTGAGCCCCAGCCCCTCACTGTGAGCCCCAATCCCGCACTGTGAGCCCCAATCCCGCACTGTGAGCCCCAATCCCGCACTGTGAGCCCCAATCCCGCACTGTGAGCCCCAATCCCGCACTGTGAGCCCCAATCCCGCACTGTGAGCCCCAATCCCGCACTGTGAGCCCCAATCCCGCACTGTGAGCCCCAATCCCGCACTGTGAGCCCCAATCCCGCACTGTGAGCCCCAATCCCGCACTGTGAGCCCCAATCCCGCACTGTGAGCCCCAATCCCGCACTGTGAGCCCCAATCCCGCACTGTGAGCCCCAATCCCGCACTGTGAGCCCCAATCCCGCACTGTGAGCCCCAATCCCGCACTGTGAGCCCCAATCCCGCACTGTGAGCCCCAATCCCGCACTGTGAGCCCCAATCCCGCACTGTGAGCCCCAATCCCGCACTGTGAGCCCCAATCCCGCACTGTGAGCCCCAATCCCGCACTGTGAGCCCCAATCCCGCACTGTGAGCCCCAATCCCGCACTGTGAGCCCCAATCCCGCACTGTGAGCCCCAATCCCGCACTGTGAGCCCCAATCCCGCACTGTGAGCCCCAATCCCGCACTGTGAGCCCCAATCCCGCACTGTGAGCCCCAATCCCGCACTGTGAGCCCCAATCCCGCACTGTGAGCCCCAATCCCGCACTGTGAGCCCCAATCCCGCACTGTGAGCCCCAATCCCGCACTGTGAGCCCCAATCCCGCACTGTGAGCCCCAATCCCGCACTGTGAGCCCCAATCCCGCACTGTGAGCCCCAATCCCGCACACTCTGCTGTGGCCGGGAGCCGGGCGGCCCCTTCTGGGCCGGTGCTTCTCTACAGGCCTCGGCAGTGCCCACAGAGCCGGGGAGGGGACCGGCATGTCCCCAAGGTTTGCTCACCGTCATTTTCTGCCCCATTTTAACGAGGGGGCCGTGGGGGGAAGGAAGGAGCCAGGGCGCTGGACAAGGCCCATCCCCTCGCAGCGGCCCTGGATCGCTGGGAACAATGATGACTCTCTGGGGGTCCCTGTCTTCCCGTGAGAGTCAGTGTCCAGCGCCACGTCCTCCTGGCCCTCACTCTGTTAGAGGTGACTCCTCCAACTCGGTGCCCCCCGCCCCACAGGGGTCTCAGCCACGCTGGCCACCACAGCCCCAGGCAGACCGGAGGCTGGTTGGTCTCATCGGAGGTCGGGGAGTCCCCAGGCCGGGCCTGGGACAGGCTCCATGTCTTCCAAGCACACACGGCAGCTGTCATTGAAGGACCACCTGTGTCGGGTCCTCTCCCTTCCCCACGGAGCAGCCTCGCCCTGTCCGTGCTGACACGGGCTGACCGCAGCGGGGACCTCGCCAGTCGGGTGACATGACGGGGGGCTCAGGAGGAGGGCCGTGTCTCCAATGGGGCCGGGCCAGTGGGATGGACCTGCCTCCGTCTAGACCGGGGCTTCTGACCTGGTTTGTGTCGTGACAAACCTACCAATCCCCACGCAGAATGCCGCCTCTGAGCGCATGAATGACACAGACGAGAATCCACATGGGTGGTTACCATCGAACCGCAAACGGTCGTTCCGGTGTTAAAACGGGGGATGCGCGTCTCACCGTGCTGCTGTCTCCGCACAGTCAGGACCCATCACAGCCACTGGCACCCATCACCCCTCCCGGCACCCATCACCGCCACCGGCACCCATCACCGCCACCGGCACCCATCACCGCCACCGGCACCCATCACCGCCACCGGCACCCATCACAGCCACCAGCACCCGGCGGGGGCTCCGGCCCAC